TGTGAATTTGCTGACATGTGATCTGAGTCAAATCAAGCTTTAGTTCGATATTAACTGTGCAATGGATCTAAAACACATGAAGAAATATTAACACAAGACACCATAAACAGTCTGACGGTCACTCAAGCAAAAGCATGATTTTGTAGAACCGCTGACCAGACAGTTCAATTGCAGTTTCAATTTGCTATTGATCAATAGTTCATCCCAAAACACAGGTAATAAAAACCTTCCTTTCTTTACTGCAGTTTAAACTGTTTGCTACAGTTTTTAAATGAGCTTAGCTTTACTGAGTTTATGACAGGCACAGGGGGCTCAGTGGACTTTTGACACATCATTTCATTTTAACTGCCTGGAAAATTAAGCGAAACTGGAAACACCTGTAGAAATCACTGTTTAATACACTAACACTACATCTACAAGTGTGTTTTTGGCATCTTCTGGTTCTATTACATTTCCTGCAGTTTCACCACAGTCATGTTTTATACCCATCATTTTCTCCGCACGTACTTTTTCAAATCAAAGCAAGTTTACTAATTATTTAGCATGCTATAAAACAACCTAAGTGCTGTACACTTTTTCAAGACAGGCAACAACAAAAACATGCAAAAAGCAAGACAAAACAGGACAAAAACTTGCTAGATCAATTTGTAAAATCAAATAATAATAAAATACTGACATAATAGGACCATTAAGGGCAATCAAATGTCATTGGTCTTGAGATTTGTCTTTTTAAAAAAAAGTCAATTAAAGAGAAGAACTCGATTGAAAGATGAAGCCTATTCTACTGTTTTGGAGCTGCCACCACAGAAGCACAATCTGCAGCCTAAATCACTGAACAGTCAAAAGCAGCTTAAACTGCAAAAGTTCTGAAATGTTGCCAGGTGTTTACAAATGTGTGGGTTTATAAACAAATACAAAAGCCTTAAAATTAATTCTGTATTTGACAGGTAGCCAGTACAAGGCTGCTCGCACCAACATTCTCTGTTTCTGCTTCCTGTTAGGAGTTTTGCAGCAGTTTTCAGCACCAGCTGCAGACGAGATAAGCAGGACTGGCCAACACTCAGGTACACTGAGCTGAACTAGTCTGAGTGGCTGCACACTTACAATCAGGTGTGAATCACTGTGGCAGACATTAAAGTGTGTGAGGGCTGTGAAAGAGGAAATGCAGTGTACAGACGAATGGTTCAAATCAACCAACAGCTTCAGAACACCAACAAGCAAACACCTGCATCCGCAATGCACTTCTGCTGCCACCGTCTTATCTAGTCATCTAAACCACAGTCTGTCAGCGCTCCATTTGAATCAAACTCACACAGCAACGTGTGCATTTTTCATTTCAGCGAGTGGCACATTAGCTGTTTGAACATGCAGACCACAGAATGATTTAACAACAACAACAAAATTCCTCAACACTGAAGAGACGGGTGAAAAACAATATATAAAAATATAAACTTATTCCCAAATTGACAGAAATGGCCTTCTGTCAGATAACTGATAAAGAAAAAGAAACAAGAGTACACACTTCAATTCTGGTAGTGCTTACTGGAAAATTTATGCAGAGCCATGTTCACAGAATAATAACTGAACTTAATGTCATTCATTGTGCAGCAAATGAATGATCCACATATGATAATGGAATGCAGCCAGGTCTCTGCACAGCGTCCCACGTGATGCCTGAGTGGAGCTGCTCAATGAAGCAGCTGAAAAAAAGTGTTTTTTTAATCATAGCAAATGGCGTGAAACTATCATCCCTGCATGAGGTCTCTTGTAAAACACACTTTTAACAAATAAAAGCTGTCATAAACAAGGCACCCAGGCAGTGGCTAAACACAATCTTTTCCCCCAGGTAACGCAGAGAGGCAGAGCTGGAGCAAAGTCACTTTTTCCTGGGCTTGACACCAGATGAATTGAAGCAAAAAGAGGTCAGGCGGTGACTCTCCTGAGATTTCACAGAGCGGTGTGCCTGTTTTTGCCCCTCTCCAAAGAAAACCCTCAAATAAAACCACCGTGGCCACAAGCGGTTGTCAGTAATCCAGCTGTCATTTAGTTCACATCAGGACCGGATCTGTTGTACCAGAGATCCAAACCCTGTAAGCAAAGCAAGCTGCACTTCAGGGTTTCAACTTCGCATGGCCTTCTTTTATGCAAAATGTTTAGTCCCAGATGTTGAGACAGTAAACTGGGAACAATCATGTCAGGCCCCACAACAGACATGCTACAGACAGGAGCAAACTTAACAGAAGAATATGACAATTATACAGAGAACCTCATCTGGAGAACAGTTGTGAAAGATGAAGTGCAGCTAAGGCGGATAAAATCCGTCCGACAGCAGAAATTTCAGTCAGACGTTTTCTCATAAGGAGACTGAGTCTGGCAAATATCACCATGTGAATAATAAAGCCTGCCGTTTAAAAAAACAAAAGTGTTCCAAAATATGTGATTCAACATCCCATTCAAAACATCAGGAACATAATCTTGTCTAAAATGAGTGCTGTATATGTTCCTTCTTTGTTACAGAGGCAGCATTGAAATCCCATCTGTTTTTCTGCCTTTTCTGCCTAGTAAAAAAAACAAAACAAAACATCAGGTTAAAGTAAAATTAAGTCATGAGGAAAAACCTCAGAAGACAAAGACATAAAATATGACTTTAATGTGACTTGCTCCGTCTGCTACCAAATGCTAAATGAGTCTTTAAAGTTGCCAAATCAAGAAAGTGTCAGATGCAGATGACAGTAAGACAGCATTACATATCTTAAAATCTGGCAGTTATGTCAAAAATACCTGATGATTTTTTTTTTTACAGTAAACGTCCCCCTCCTTCGGCTTTGGAAATCCGCTGATTCAGCCTTCAGACCATGTGAGACTAAACCTCTCCAGCGAAATCCAGACTAATGAAATTCCTTGACTTGAGCTGCATTCTGGTTTCTTTGCAGGTTTTAACTCTAACCCCTAAACTGTTTGAGGAAATATATTCCCACACAGAGCTGGAATGAGTTTTCAGGCAGAGCTGGCACAAATCCAAATTTTGCTAAAAAAAAAAACGCTTAAAGGCAACTAAAATATGACCTTCTCGTCAACCCACAGTGCTTTACAAAACGCTCTAATGGCCTTTTATCGAGTCCTTCAGGCTGCAGTGTTTGCTCGTTTCACAATACAGATTTGCTGGCATTGTGAACAACATGCTGATGGTTTTGCTGTTGGTGAAGCTTTATCAAAACAAGATGACAAATATAAAGTTTGTCCTGAGGGCGAAAAACTGAAAGGGTTCACTCTGCTCATTGTGCTCAGTAAATGTCACTGTAATTTGCCCGTTAGTATAATATCTCTTTTATATTCATATATATGTATACACACATGAGAATTTTAGTCCCACGGTGACATTACAGGGCAGAGGGAGGAGATAACAGAACACACAAGTACACTTCTCATTATGCTTTGGGGATACAAACACAAACTATGGGATTTAGTGAGGAATGCTGTGGGTTTCAACCATCTTTTAACCATATTTCTTCACATTTTTGGAAATGGCAACAATAAATAGAAGCTTTCAATAGTTTTCATAAATGTGCACACAGCTACTGCTGAATTACTGCGATGCTGAATTAAACTGCGGTCGCTGTACTGGACCATCGTGGTGAAGAGAGAGCTGAGCAAGGCAGCAAAGCTCTCGATTTACTGGTCAATCTACGTCCCAACCCTCACCTATGGTCCTGAGATCTGGGTAACGACTGAAAGAACGAGATCGCGGATACAAGCGGCCGAAATGAGTTTCCTCTGCAGGGTGGCTGGGCACTCCCTTAGAGACAGGGTAAGGAGCTCAGTCACGCGGGAGGAGCTCGGGGTAGAGCCGCTGCTCCTCCACGTCGAAAGGAGCCAGCTGAGGTGGCTCGGGCATCTGCTTCGGATGCCTCCTGGACGCTTCCCTGGGGAGGCGTTCCAGGCGCGTCCCACCGGGAGGAGGCCCCGGGAAGACCCAGGACACGTTGGGAAGATTATGTCTCTCGACTGGCCTGGGAACGCCTAGGGGTCCCCCCCGGAAGAGCTGGAGGAGGTGTGTGCGGATCGGGGAAGTCTGGGCGGCTCTGCTCAGGTTGCTGCCTCCGCGACCCGACTCCGGATAAGCGGGAGAAGACGGATGGATGGATGGATGGATGAATTAAATTTATGTCATGATTCTCCTCTTTTTTCTAACATTTTTCAGCGGATTTATGGTTTTGCATTTTTGATGGACATTGGACATAATAGCATCTTTGCCAAAAGTGAGTCACACTGAACCTAAAAATCTGTGTTTCATGTAGAGCTGCCACATAAGGTTGATGCATCAGATGAAGATCCCTGATTCAGATTCTTCAAGTTGAGCATTTGTTCATCTTATTCACATGACGACATGCACTGCACTCAGGTTTAACTGACGAGAGAAGATAAAAAGCTGATGTGGAGCGATACTTGTTATCACCAGATTGCTCTCTATTGAGGAATGTGGGTTAGTGGGCAACCAGTGTGACATAAGTTCAGTGTTGTGAGTGAAATATGTTTAGCAGCACATGCGGACAGAGGTCAGTAAGCTACTCCAAATAGCAGCAATAAAGTCTATGGATTTTTCAGCCTAAAAGTTATTCAAATGTCCTAAAAGACAGGAAACAAAGGCCTGGTTCATGTATGTGTTTCTCACTGTCGCGCTGCTGAAAAAGACTGTGACAAATACAGTAAATCGAAACCTATTCAACCTTTCAAAATCCTGATTCAAGGTCAGCCTTAGTATCATGTCTGTATGTTAAGTTTAAACTGTGTTATGACTCATGAAAGGAGTAAAAACCTTTGTGCTAATTGCATCAAATTGCAGTATCATAGGCTGTGTATGGCCAGTAGTCAGAAAGTTGAACATACACAGAAACAAACATTGCAGTCCATTCACTCTGCTGCTGCTGCTGCTGCTGTGACTTTAAAACACATTCAAACACACAGCCACATTAGAAAGACATTAATCACCACACACTTACCTTGGGTCATGTAAACCAGACTTCCTGTGAGCAGAGCCACACAGTTGGTGGGCTGATGGTTGTGCAGGTACTGGAACCCCCAGCCCCGGACGTAGGACTTCTCGTACATCAGGCGTGACGCATTGCCGATCACCTGCAGGAAACGCTCCTGTTGGCCCTTGTTCAAGTACTCATACAGGAAGTCGTAAGCGGTGGCAAACCCGACCAAAGAGTGGGCCAGAGGAACTTCATCCCAGGGGGCGTCTTTGACCAGCCTGCAACAACAGGACCAAACCAAAAGGTAAGACATCGGCCACATGTGGAACACATGGAAGAAAACGTATTCAGTGGAGAGCAAGTGTGACATTTTCGCTCTTTCCAATAAAGTCCTAGCAAATGGTTTCCCGTGAACAGGAAACCTTTCCTTTGCAAATCCTTTTAATTACTGTTAACAGAGCTGTAAAATATCTAGTCACTTTGAAAGCAAAAATAAAGATGCTAAATAGCAGTTTTAACCACAATTACAGCCGCACCAATAAAGACACATATAAAGAAACATTAAAAGTGCAGTATTAAAGAGGGTAGATTTTCTCCTCGTCAACACATGCTAGGCTCGAAGACTGCTGACTGGTGTGAATTTCAGGGGTGCAAAGACTTGCAAAAAAAAGCGAAAGGTGATTACTCCTCTTAATTAAAAAGAAATGAACTTCAGATGTGAGGACTGTATTTAAACAGCCATTAGTTCAAGCTGAGATCTACACAAAGGTTCTGTTGAGATCGAAAGAGCATCGGAGTCATGACACCATCTTCCGTCTTACTGCTGCTCAATGAGGCTGTTTTTCGAATGAATTTATGAAAAAAGGGAAATCTATCCATATGGGAGGATAATTCAGTATCTGCGATGGCACTTCAAATCAAAGCTGACATGTTTATGACCTTGAGAAAGTTTTAAAATATTTCAACTTGATGCATTTCCTGCGTTTCCACCTCTGCTGTAGAGATCAGGTCACACAAGGACTGAAAGAGGCCTCTACAGCTTCCCAAATAAACATCATTTTTACATGAATCATTTCAAACGCTTGTGTCTGGAGTCTGACACAAAGTAAACACAGATCCGCATCCTGGAATTGAAACTGAAGCTGAACGAACCACCCTGGTAAATTCATCAGCAAACACCAGACTGCTGCTATACTGTCTACTAAGGAAATGTCTAACACTTTTTTTTCTCATGTCATCATTTCAACTTTTCAGTCGTAGTCTCTGCTGCCTGCAAAAATGTCCAGAATGACCTGGTGCCCACAAAACCCCCACCTGCTGTCAGTGCAAACCATGACGCCCACATGATGAAGTGTTTCTCTGCTAACAGCCACAAAAACAAAGAGAGCAAAAAGAAACAGAAATCAAATTACAAATAAACCACAAACATAATATTTAGAGCTGGGGTAGGCGGTATTTTGTTGTTGTTGTTTATGGCATTGTAATTTAAGTGGACCAGACTTCTAGAATAGAATAGAATAACATTTTATTGATCCCTTCGGTGCAAACTTCAGAGAATTGGCCTGCACCTCCTCTTGACTCTGTTTTCCGTATTCAAGAAATCTAGCCCATGATGGGAGACTTTAGCCAATCACAGGTCTGTTTAGAGCGAGAGGGTGTCATTACTATTGGCTGTTCTGCATGCACAGCGGTGGAAAGGCTGATTCAATGAGAAAAAATCTTGCAGGAAAAGTTGCTATTTTAGCACTGGCAGCTTCCAAAACTGCAAACCGACTCAAAAAAAAAAAAAAAAGGAAGACAGACTTACCTAAAAGAAAGCCTGGCAACAAATGCAGTGAAACAATGATGCTAATGCTCACGGCTGCTGCTATGGCAAATTTAATTTCATGTTTATGATCATACTTAGATCAAGTTTGTGTTGCGTGTGCATATGAGGAGGACTATATTTTCAAATTCTAGTGTTTTTGGTTATTTCTTCCCTCTCTAGTGTCTGAGGTTCAAGGATAACACAACACTGTTTAACATATAAAATCTTAACTCAGCTTACTGTACTGGTTTAAAAATAAATCAAAACTTAAGCAGCATTTCACCTAATCAGGGCCATGTGGCTATATACAGATGTACATTATTTAAAATTTGACTTGCAGAACAACTTTGACATCCTTTAAACACAAAAATTGCAAAGAATGTCATTTATTATTATGCTCCTTTCATCCAAAAGCTCAAGTTGATAATTCGAGAATGAATAACACTTGTGCTTGACTGATAAATTTGTGTGCACAATTTAGCTCTGTTTCTCCTGGCACTAGACAGGCTCCATACCGAACCTGATAAGAACGATTGTGTTGTAGTATTGTGTGCACATATTACAAAATGTAACTGAAATTTTCACTGAGGTTTCTTATCACTCCTGGACCAGAACCTGAGTTTATCAGTAGAACTGAAGCATCAGCTGGTAACACTATTTCATTATACTGTAGTAATATTGTACCCTACTATGTAAAGTGCACTGAAATGACTTGTGCTATGATTTGGTTCAATATAAATAAAATTGAATTAAAAAAAAAAACTTACATACATGATTTCCACATGCTAAGTTGCAGCTGAGGTTTATTTGAAAACCGCAGCTTCTTTATGTCACCACTTGCTCATATGACAAAAAAAAAAGACTGCCAAGTCACTGTTGGACTGTATATTGAGCTATGCCAAAGCACACAAAACCTCACTTCTGTATGTTTGCTCAGACTGTGAAAGACGCAGGCACCAATCTGCCACAAAGTAGAAGCTCTCCATCTGAACATGGTTCCCGGGGCTGTTGCAGACATAATTGAAGGCCATGAATACCACAGCTGACTGAATCCCGGAGCCACTCTGCAGAAGCCCTAAGAGGTTCAGTGACCATAATAAAAGTGCGGCCAAGGAGAAAACTCACAGTGTGCTCTCGAGACGTGAAAACACATGCTCAGTGGCTTTTCGTTTCTGCACTGTGGCACACATCCTGATATTGTGAAAAATGCCCTGCAAATTGCACTAATGCCAAGACGTCTAACCCCCCCTTAGAAATGAGCTGCTGGAAAATCCCCCTTCCTCCTGTTCAGTGGCTGGAGGCAACACAGCAGCGGTGCAGCAAAATGAGAAGGATTAAGCTGCTCTTCAACACGAGGGAGGAGGGCAAAAGGCAGAGGCAGAGTTTATTTGGTACCTGAGATTCTGGTCAACACTCACGTCTGTCCCTCTGCACTTGTTATGTTCACTAATATTTGAACAAAACGTACGCTTTGCAACAGGCATGTTGACAAGCTTAGAGAAAGTGAAAAGTGGACGTTTTCACTGTCAGCGACACAGCAGGGACCGAGCACTGCCAAGACACTCCAGCTGCATCTGTGTAGTAGTCAGGTGCAGCTATTCAGTTTTCACACATTTAGTCTCTAGCTGCATCTATAACATCAACAATCAGAAATGTCTCAAGACAGGCGTATTGCAGGAATACAGTAATTCTAAATAATATATAGTCAAAGACTGACAAAAAAAAACGTCTGTGACACTCATCTACAGACATACTCAGCTAATAAAATATGGTCTCACACAGAACTGGTTATTACAGATTTTATAAACAGACTTGACTGAACTAAAAAAATACAATCTTGATTTAGGTACAGATAACAGCCAAAGAAAAGAACACCATAACTGTACTTCGAGGCTTATGAAGGGAAAAAATGCAGGTAATAATTCCTAAGCCCCAGGCTATGTTTTGAACTTCCCACCTGGAAAAACATCCCCAAATTCAGTGAGTGACAGCATGACAGTAAATCTGAAGGTATTTGAACTTGTTGGCTTCATGTCTGAATGAACACTGGTTACAGCCTTCATACAAAATACACACTTAGAGTGTCAAAGTCCTAAAGCAACTTTCTCTTTCATTTTCCTCTACAATTTCACATCTATTACAAATTGAAATGTCCATGTAAATAAACCTTTACTGCTCTAAAGGCAGCGTCAGCAGGTCAGATTAATGAGAATTTCACCAATAATGAAAGTAATCCATGTTTTTATAAATTGATAACAGGAGCTGATGTTTAGTTTGTTGATTCCAGCTGTTTTAGGCGTCGTTTCTCTGAATTTACAAAATACGTGCAACACTAGATAGCTGCAAACTGATATAAGCGTCTCCAAACCAAAACATTTGCACGCATTTATAGAATAACAGCTTTACTAATTACTTCACCCCTGACATGGAGACAGGATCGATGAGGATCTACCAGCCTGTCACATTGTGTATTTTTATAAGCAACTGTTTATAAGCAACAACTGATCATTCGTTGCATAGCAGACGTTCCCAGGTTAAATCCTGAGGTCTATCTCAGCTGTCAGGATGTTTTTTTACTGTTCATAAACAAGTAGTTATGTTATCATCACACATGGGCAGCATTTATAAAATCAAAACTAAACTAGGCTATTCATTATCTGGACAGTATGATAAGTTCGCGATTAGTTTAGATTTACTTTATATTTGTTTATTACGGCACTGTAATGCATTACACATCGCTTGATGTTTTGTCCAATCAAAAGGTACAAAAAGGTGCAAAATTCCCTTTCATTTACAATAAAATTAAGTATTAGAGAAGTACAAGGTACAATGTGAAAATGAAAGTAATACTCATATGCATAAATGAATATGTCTACGGAAAGAAATGATGGAGGAAATGTGCTGCTGTTGTTGGGTCACACATTCGAACACAAGTAGGATGTTGAGGTTGACATGCTGTGCATAGCTGTGAGTGAATCTGAACTGTTTGTGCATGTGGATAACTATAATGTCCTTATGAGGCATAGTAAACAGACATTGCTTGGCAAAAATTCTCAACTCTTCCCAATTTGATGCCACAGACATAAAGCACAACATCCATTTTTGTCACAGCACTAGTTAACCACTTTACTGAATGTGCCACATTTGCAACCTTCAAAAAATTCTACCTGGTCCTGTTACAGGGGCCTAAAGTCGGGAATCACAGTGACGACATGTGCACCTATGTGGTATGAGCCCCAACTCAGGCATCAGGTTGGCCATGAGAGCAGTAGCTTTGATAAAACTGTGAATCCCATCCCTTTCACAGACTGTTTTGTGTTCATTTGTCCAGATTTTAAAATATCTGTCTCTGAGAAACAAAACAATATGTCTAAATGCCACCAGAAGTAAGTGAGGAAATTGTTGTCATTGACATTTAAAGAAAGAAAAACGCTGCAGAGCTCTAGGGCTTAAAAGACTGAATGCATTTTGAAAACTTTCTTCAAATGAAGCCACGTTTCCTGTGTTCAAGACTGTCGATATAAACAACTATCTGCGGTGGTTGCATTCACGAGTAATGACGCATGTGGGTGTTTTTAAAAACAGCGGAGTCTTTGCAAAATAGTCATCTTCATTATCTGTTCTCTTCTCATTTGACATTATAGCGCTGATATGCAGCAATTTAAAAACTCTCGCCATGTTCAAAACAGAATAATGACACTTGTGGCATTCTGCAGCTGTGCTCAACCACTTCAACACTAAGCCTGACATGTGCTTTCCTGTGTCAAAACCACAAACTCACAACTTCCATGTGAAGTTGGCTCATGTTCATGTCATACTTACTAAGAATTACTCAGCCTTGTGTACATTTGAGAAGGCACACACTGGAAACACATCCTCCATGACTGAGAATTGATCATATTCAGACAAAGCATTATTCAAAAAAGCATGATTACTAACAAGGCGGGGAACTGAGATAGGGGTCTGGGGACTCATGACTCCAGCTTGACAGTTTGGAAAATAATTAAGGGTAGTTTTGTAACTGATGACACACCACAAAACATTACAAACTGCACATATAGCAGTGTGGAGTCCGTTCCTGTCTGGTCACCTGGACGCTGAACTTCACTCTCAACCCAGGCCTCAACAATTCAGCTCACATCTGAGTATTTCATTTCCTTTCACTGGGGGATGGGGGCGGGAGGGGGCATGTTCAGCAAACAGCTGCTCAACATATTTCCTGGACTACAGACTTATCGGACCACAATGCATCTTTACCAAACTTCTGCCTACAGGGAAAGATGAGAGCACTCTGGGGATGGGAGCCTTTGAAAAGGAGGAGTTAGTGCCCAGTAGACACACACGTGGGGGTGGACAAGAGATATCAGGTACTGACTTTAAACTCTCAACAGATTTCTATTTTCCTCCGTAGAAAGAAAAACAGACAAAATGGAATGAAAGGAAAGCCTTGCTTTTTTTTCTCACTGTTCAATTAAAGAGGTGAAATAATAAAAGACAGAAAATCTACCAACTAGGCTGAGCCGCCATCCTCTCCATGTAGTCCTTGGCCAGGTCGAGGGCTCCGGCCCGGTGCGGGTACAGCAAACAGAACATGGACAGCACTCCCAGGTTGTTCCCATAAACCTCATTCCAGCGGGCGCTAAACTCAGCGGGGCTCCAGGGGGGCAGGTACTCCTCCGGGTGCTCCAGCATGGCTTCCCCAGCCTCGCGGATCCTCCTCGCCATCTCCCGGTGAGTCCCCGCCGCGGCGTACTGCAGCTCCTCCACATTGCCGCGACTGAAGTACAGCATGGGGTGACCATCGTAGTTGCCTCCCATGAAGGGGATTCCTCCGCCGGGGTCCACATCCGCCGCCGCCGCTGGAGCAAGCAGGGGCCACAGCAGACTTATGAAGAAGACTGTGGGCGCCCCGCGGGTGTGGGTTCTCATCGTCTCATCAGAGATTGGACTGTGGCATTGCCGAAGGAGCTCAGCTGAGAGGGAGAAATGAGGGGGGAGAGAAGGATTTGAGAAAGCCAGCCCATATTCTGCACAGCCTTTTCTTACAAAAGCCCTGCATTCCTTGAATAATTAGATACAGCTGTAGGCCTGATGATGCAGGCTTTCCATACTGATGTGGGCCATTATTGAGCGGTGCAGTTGAGAACTGATCAGCGCTGTCTGATAAAGTAGGAGTCACTGTTGTTAGACACATTTGTTCGAAGTTTTTAGAGTTGAATACAATGACCCCATTAAATCTCCATTTACTAATCTTGAGGTTTTACACCTTTGCACATTCACTTTCCAAGATTTATTCCTGAGTAGCTACTGTCAGACAAGTCAAACCATGCACACCCAGATGGCCACATGAACAGGCCTGGAGGTCATAAATGACCCATTACTGCAGTAACATTAGTCTGGTCTACTGAAACAAGCTCTAAACCAAACTGCTGCGCTTTACAGAGAGACACGAGCTGGCTGACGTCTCTGCCCTGAACATGAGAGTAAATTCCATGACCTTAGTGGAGCTCTTGGCAAAGGCCTGGTGGAAAAGCATTTGGTAGTGATTTAAGGGACGTCTAGACTGGACTGTACATGCAGTTTGCGTCGTGCTTGATAAACAAGGAAAGCTAAAGCTGGGACGAAAAACTGGTTTTCCTGCTGAAGTTAATTTTGACATTTGACCTTATGAGGCGTCACATTCTTCTGTGGTGAACACGAGGGTGGAAGACTCGTAGCCAAGACCAAAGCATCAAGACGAATCTGGGCTAATTCATCACAGTAAAGCTGTGGTACACGTCTGAATGATCCTGATCTAAAACAACATTCTCTGGGCTGTTTTACTATATTCACTGGATAATATTTTGATAGGTGCTTATAGTAGGTCCATGCCACACACTAGTGACTGTGTAGTGACCTAACGCATTAGAATACATGACAGCATCACTGTAATGTATCCTTACAGGCCCCTAAAGCAGCTAGAGTTTCAGAAACACCTCCCTTCCTTTATTGTTATCATAAGGATATTTAACATTTTACTAATTGTTAACTACTTATATATTAACACAACATGCTGAAACAATGTGAAATTCCTATCAAACTACATGGCTTCAGCTTTTCAAATGTGAAGGTTTTCTACTGGAATGTCAACGTACATTAACTGTATTTTCATTTGTCCTTAATAAACAATGCAATTATTCATCAAGAAAACAATGACTAGATTACTGGATAATTAAAATAACTTCTAGTCACTTAGAAATGAAGCTTTCAAAGCCGTCTCTGCAATGCTGGGAATCAAATTCTATCAGAAAAGTGTTGAGGTCTTTTAGTGTTGAATGTCAAACCTTAAAAAACTGTCGTCAGCAAAGAATAGCTAGAAAGTGTGTATACAAGTTGAGCATCAATGACTGATCAATTCATTGCCAGCTATCATGAGCTACTTTGATGATCGATTAATCAGTCTGAGTAACAAAAATAACTAACAAACAAATTCTCTAGCCCCTTCAATGTGAATATTTTTGTGGTTTCTTTTCTCTTCCATGATAGTAAATAGAATATATTTGACTTGGTGCATTACTAAATCCTCTTGGCTTTTGGGAAACAGCATCTATTGACATTTTATGGAGCAGACTAATTGATTAATTGAGAAAATAATCAACAGATTAATCAACATTGAAACTTATTATCAGCCCTACATGCTATACTTTGTGATCCTTTGATGCCTCTTTTTCAGGTTTAAATCATCTTTTAAAACTATTCATTTAGCAGCAGTAGTTTGACACCTATAACAATGTATAATAAAAAGAAATGCTATTAAATAAGACGGTTTTACGAGGCCTGATTTTAACATTAATGCCTATTTTGTGTGTCCAACTATTCAAAACAAATTAAGAGGATTTAATCTGGAAAATATCGGACACGTCTGTGTTTTTAATTGTAAAATACACAGCCCACAGTGTTGCTAATAACCCTCCAATTCCCTGAATAAATACAAGACATGACCTCAGGGCCCTTAATGAAAGGTAGGCCCTGCTTTAAGTGTCTCTGCTACTCTGAGGTATTACCTTATGCTACTTGGCAGCACTCTCATCTCCCTGAAGGGATTTTTAATTTCCCTGTGACAAAAGCCTATTGCATTTTATTCTTCCTTTTTTTCCATACAAGACAGCTAAATTCTAATATGTTGTCATGACAGAGGTAATTAGCCACGTTACTTTGCCCCTCACAAGCTAATTCCAAGTGATTAGCTTCACAAAATTACGCGTTGTTCACGTAAACACGTGGGAATTACTGGCGACTGTCAACTTAGTTTTTGTTCCACAGTTACAAGAGGGTAAAACAGCAGAGGTTTCATTATCAAACCGCCAGAAACAGTTGAGCTCGGACCCATAAAAAGGCGTCCCTCCCTCCGCAGACACCGCTGCCTCTCCTGCTCCATGCCAATAAGATGCTACCTTTTACTTTCCCAAACTTTAAGCTAGCGCGTCGCTCATTAAGTCTCATTAACGAGCCTCGCGGTCGGGCTAAAGCGGATGTTTTGGCTCAATAAAACCATCTCCGCCGACGACACAAACGCCGGCTCTGTTGTAAATATCGATTATCGATGGATTGATGATCCAAATCCACGCACAAAAGTAGCCTTGTTCCTGTCGACCACGAGCAAGACTTCGGTGGGAGAAAAAAAAAAAAAAGAAGTAGCCGTTACCTGTCAGAAGCAGCGCTGGCAGATCCCCGTCCTCACGGCGGTCATGTCCTCCACTGGGATGTTAGGAAGAGTAAAGAAAAAGATGTGGTCCTAGCGGGGTTTTTTCAAGAAAATGATTATTATTACTATTTCAGAGGCGAAAGAAAGTTAGAGAGCGGAGGGAGGTATGAGGGAGAGCGGAGAGAGAGAGAGCGTCATGCTGGCGAGTGAGGAGGGGCGGCAGGGGAGAGAGGCTTAAAGGGGACCTAATGAAGGCAGTGGCCGCCCTCCTCCACGCTCGGCTCGGCTAACAGGTAGCCGCGGGAAGAAAGAAAAAAAAAGTTCCTAATTAATACAGTGCAGGAATGGAGGTTCCACATGCCTTAAATTTCTCCTTTCTTACACTGGACTTCATGATAAATCCCCCAGCTTCAGTATTTGTTTGTTAAGTCATATGAGAAGGTTTTATGCTAGTGCTAATTTGTACATATACTAATTAGCTTAGCTTTAGTGCATTCGGGCTAATGTGCTATAATTTATAGCTTTCTTTAAAATAAACACAAATGAAACACAAAAACCAAGAAGGACACTAAACAATGCTGTTTATCCACAACATTGCTGGGTTCTTCAGCCCATTTCAGACATCCATCCATCCATTATCTATACACTGGTTAACAAGTATCAAATGTCTTATACATATTTATTCATGTGGTTATCTAATTACTGAAATGAAAGCAAACTTTTTTTTTTTTTTTACAAGAGATTCATCCATCCATTCATTATCTATACACCCCTTTATCCTCACTAGGGTCGCGGGGGGCTGGAGTCTATCCCTTTCATTCACATTCACACCTATGGACAATTTAGAATCACCAATTAACCTCAGCATGCTGCTGGACTGTGGGAGGAAGCCGGAGAACCCGGAGAGAACCCACGCTGCACGGGGAGAACATGCAAACTCCCCATTTCAGACTGCACTATGTTTTGTTAATCTGATGGTAACTGAACATGTCGGCATCGCGTCTGTAAAAGTTGTGCCAACACTATGCATCTAAAGCCACTTTCCTATTTGGTATTCGTGACATTCTGGCTTTTCCAATCTGTTAAAGTGATGGCATTCTGTCTTTAAAGCTCTTTTCTTTATCAACGTCATGTCTGAATGCACACCCTGGTCAGTTTTCTGTGAAATAGATGGTGTATGGAACATTGCTGGGTTCATCAATCCAGTAATTCTGTTAATCAGACAGAAACTCATTTTGTCAGCGTCATGCACCCTGGTCAGGATGCAACAGCAATCTCCATCTGAAACTACCTTTAGATATGTGACATGGAACATTGCGGGCTTCTTCAGTCAATTAAAGTGACGGCATTCTGTCGTCAAGGTGTTTCTACACGTGCTTCCCATTATGTTAATCTGATGTACATCTGAATGTACACCCTGGTCACCTTTCTGTTAAAGTCGCTCCAGCAATCTGCATCGAGGCACTTTCGGACAGGAGATATTGAACTTTGCTGGCTTCTTGAATCAGATAAAGTGACAGAATTCTGTTTTAAAGTTCCTTTCTTACATTAATCTGATTCACCTGAACCTGTCAGTGTCGCGTCTGAATGCACATCCTGGTCACTTTTCTGTAAAAGTTGATCTAAAGCCACTTTCTTACATGGATGAAACACTGCTGGATTCATCAATCGTCTCTAAAGAGAGAGAGAGAGAGGGTTGTGCATTAAATTCCTAGAATCATAAACTGTCCCCAAGAAATCACTGAAAGTACATCAGTAAGGGTCAGGATCTGGCAGCAAGACATACTGTGTAGGTTTGCTTGTCTTCACCTTAGACAGATGAGCTGTCACACACAGAATGGCAGTTTAGTTTGTTACTTCCAGCTGTGAAGGATTATTTCCTCTGGGTTTATTAAATACTTGCAACATCAGACAGCAGCAGCATACACGCATGGAGCAACAGCACTAATTTCATCAGCTACTTAAAATGATAAACTATCCCAGATAAGGAGACGGAACAGATCAGGATCTAACGGAAAGTTCCACTGTCTGTCTTCTTTGCCTCAGCCAGATGAGCTGTCACACATATGGATCTTTCTGCTGTCTGATGCTGATACGAAAAACCGAGAGGAAAAAACTCCTACAAAACTCCTTAATGTGGCTGCAAGCAGTTCAGACTTGTTAAAAGAGATTCGGAAATATTACTAGTTCTGACCTAGTAATATTGTTGGCGTGACTTTTATGGAAAAATGACCAGGGTACTCAATCAGAAATGAAGCCGACACATTCAGATGCCATCAGAATAATAGAACAAAGGTCTGAAAGGGTTTTAGATTAGTTAACTAAACATCAACAGGAAAACATTCATGATTAATAATATTCAGAAAGTTGTACTGTTGTATCACAGTGGCTGGTGATTACTAATGGGGGACAGAAGCAAGACAAGGCTTTGTAGAGCAGTTAAACGGTCTGTGTTGTGGAACTATTTTAGCTACACGAGGGGAAAAATGAAATCAGGCGCATATTTTCACAGTGAAAAAACACAGTGTTGATTCTCCACCCACTTACACATACTAGACGCCGTCTCCAATGGGAGTGAAATGTTTCAGTCTTGGCAATATGTGATCCTCCTTAAACCTGCTCTACTAAAACGTATTATCAGTGTACAGTGTGTAAACTACGAGGCTGATGTCTGCAAAAAACAAAAAACTCCAAAACCCTCATGTAAGAAAATCGTAGAACATTTTATTTCATTGACAGTACTTCAACACTTGAACACAGAATTGAACTTTCCCTGTGTTTTCAAGAACGTAAGACCACAAATGAATCCAACATAAGGCAAATGTGCATGTCAAATTTTCCAGGTCAGATGAGAAAAGAAGAGTACAATCACTACAGCTGTATGCATAAAACACTTGCACACACAGCACAAGTAATAATTCACTTTGGATGACCAATCTCATGTACATGCCTGCGGCTGCTTCATGTCAAAATATTCTGTCCTCACTTATGAGATGATGGTCATCTTACAGGAACACTTTGACATTTGGGAAATCTTCTTTAATGACTTAATCGGAAACAAATGAGAAGATTTAAACCAGTATCATCTCTGTGTGGTTACCATAGAGACAAGTCCAGGGTGTTTAGCACAGCTTAGCACAAAGACTGGAGGAAAGTAGTACTTAGAACAAACCCAAAAACATCTCCAAAGCAGCTTTATTAACATGTTGCATGTTGTTGATGCAAATGGTGTTGAAAAAAATGCCATTAGTGTTTTATGAGTTCAAAATTAGCTAATTTATGAGTTGCAAAAGCTTGGTGCAGTGATCATGCATGTTAAGGCCGAATCTTTTAATTTGAAACTGTAATTAAAAAGTAGTCCGACCTGGCAAAATCCCTCCTCACTTAATTCTACCGGCTGCTCCCCTATTGTGCCCCTCATGAAGACAAATAGAGTAAACTAGCGAACCAAAGCTAGTGAACAAGTTACAGACCTTTTGAGTAAAGGTAAAGTTCTGTGCTAACTTTGTACAAATAGTTCAAAGCAATTACTTCTTAGTTCAACTGTGTAGCATCTCAAATGTCCTTCTCCTGCTCTTTGCATGCCAGAATCTTGACAGAAACTTGTGCCCCCAATCTCAGAACCCAGGAAAGCCAATTTAAAACATAGAGGCCGACCTGAACAGACTTAGAGATCAACCGAAGTTGATGCAAGCTTGGTTTATACTCCTGTGTTGAATCTATGCTGAGCCTACGACCTAGCCTATGTCATTGTGAGCATTTACATGAGCGCATCGCTCTGCAGTTACACCTCCAAAACACTAGTTAGAGGTGGTTTTCTATGTCACTTTGCTGAGTTTCTCTATTTAATTGTGCTCTATTTTGTGCTCATAAAAACGGAGTCGGTTGTAGGTATGAGCTCCTATTGATCAAAGATGTTGGGAAGCTGTCACATGACAGAAAAGAAGGTAAAAAGAAAGGCCAGCAGGTTTGTTGGGATTCCGTGAGGCATTCAAAACTGGAAGAAGCCAATGTGATACAACATGGGTTAAAATGATTAACTGTGAACCCAACGCCCTACATCTTTCAGGTTCGGCTGTTTTAATTCTGATATCATGTTGTCCAAGACCGAATAGCTGTTAGAACGTCTCACAACTTGATTCTTGAGTTTCAGTTGCTATAAACCAAGTGTACCAATGGAGACCTTTAGTTTCCACCAGTCTTAAACCAAACAATTCTGGAAAGTGATGGTTGTGTTAGTGATGAGCTTTCGTGGAGTTGTTACAAGTTGTATTTTTCCACTTCGAACAACAATCTATACAAATGATGGACGGACGTGAAAAGTGAAGCGTTGAGGTGCCTCCAACTTGCTTACTTTCTAACCAGCAGCAGGGGGGCGACTCCACTGGTTGCAAAAAAAACCAAACTGGATCGTCAACGTCCATCTTTTATATACAGTCTATGTTTTGGACTGATGCAAACACAATTTCCTGCAGTTCGGTCTTCGTGCTAAGCTATGCTAAATACAACCCAAATGCACAACGATAACGCAGGCGCCAATCGTCTATGGCAGCAACAAGCAAACGTCCACTGACTTTACCCAAACTGAGTGTTCCTTAAGTATGATGGCACGACTTGTCTATGCACACTGACAAAATAACCATTCAGAAGTCGGTTAAAGCATATCTGAATCTGCATATGAATGAAGCACGAGTAGTCCACATTGTTGCACAATCACTCAAAAGATTCACCGTTGCACCAAAAGTAATACAGAGAACATCTAGCATAGTCTTCATCATCCATTATTTCTTATTATTAGTATTATTATTATTAAGAGTTTCCCAAAGTAGTGTTTTTTGAAACAGCCAACACAAAGGACAATATTGTGCTAGTTTTTTATAGCAACAATGACCTGAAGATTAACACCTTCCACGAAACTGACACAGGGGAAACAATAGACCTTAAACCTCGTGTTAAGGTTCCTAAAATGCATACAATTAAACCATAGTTTTTTTTTTAAAAAAGGAGGACTTCACAATAACAGTGTTGTACAGAAATACCGACACAAGGATTTCAAAGGATCTTAAGGGACACGTACTCCTGTTTTGCTTACAGTAGATCACGTTCTTGAGGTAATCACTTCAGGGGGAAAAAGAGACAGTAAAATGTTCACTTTGAAAAATTCAAACAATCTATTATGGAAAATAATAGGGGGCCTCACACACATGAAACAATAAGAACATTACATCTCCTATTATTACTGTATGCAGACACACACGCACACTTATTTTGTCGTATTTCCACGTGTACGGTACACTAAACCACGAAACAACGTTCAAATGTAGGCGTTATTACAGAGAGATACTGTGGCTTACATTCACATAGTTTCTCTGAACGGGTGAGGAGTGTATGCTTCCTGTGCTCCACAGATGGTGGTGGCGGGGTCAGGTGGGAAACTACAGGCAAAAATGGAGGCACATTCCTCTCCTGAGGCAGAGGGGTAAGGGAGAACTTTTTTCTTTTCCTTTTTTTTTCCTCTTTTTTTTTTCTCCTTTCTTTTTTTTCTTGTATTTTTTTACGACAGACTCTCGCACCTCTTCAGCAAAGAATCCGGGGGCCTGGGGTAGTAGCCGGTGGTGCAGGGCTTGTCAGGGGAAAACCTGGGGAACTTGTAATCCAGGGGGAGATCTAGAAAGAGTGAAAAAAAATCAAACAAGAAAGTCAACTGCAAGTGATCCAGTGCAGGCTGCCTGGACTTTCAATGCCCCACTGCTGCTGAGAAAGTAACGACTGGGTATTCAGAGGGAAAGCACACTTTGTTCTGCACAGCAGGTAGTAATCACTCAGTCCAGATGAATGAGGGACCCCAAAGAGACCACTTTGACATTAAACGTTTATAAATTACAGACCTGCAAAGTCAAGAGGGATGAGAAAGGTGACAGTTGTGAAACAGAATCCCTGTGGGACAGAGGGAATTTCCCTCCTGCTGAGCAGACATAAGGACAGGGTATTAAAGTGAGAGCTAATTTGTATGACATGTTGTGTAACCCAGTGAACCCTAAAACCCACCAGCGGGTTTGAAAGGCATGATGCCTTTAAAACAAATTTGCAAAATGGTACTATTTTTGAGGGATTTTTGAGAAAACAGAAAGAATCACCGGAAGCTTAATCAAATGTAAGTTAAAATCGTGATACTGAATCAAGAATCTATTTATACTAAATGTCTCAATTAAGAACCCAACCAATTCACGTGATTAAAATTCAGAGACTTTTCAGCTAAACTGCAGGCTGTGTTTACGACAGGACACAAGCATGGAAACAAATAAAAATGTAGCTAAATACCTATAGTATGGAGCATCGGTAAGATCTATGGGGATTTGTACATGTTGATTCCATTTTTTTTTTTTTTATGTATGTAAAATAAATTGGTTTTCAGCTCATAGTTTGCACCAAGGCAGCACAAGGTCTAGTTTGGCATCAGTGCCTAATCTCAGACTAGTTTTGACAACCAAAGAACTGGTTTTTGGCGAGGAATGTTCAAGAGTAGCATCAACATGTTGCAAATTTAGAACCAAGAACTGGCGCAGGGGGTGGGATAAGACCAATTTAAACTTTGTGACCACTGTTATAAAAAAAAGAAGAAGAAAAAAAGTCTGTTAATCCAAAAATAAGAGAAAATTTAGCTTCAATATCAGATGTGACACTGAAGCAGCAGTGGTAGGGACCATTATTTGTGTCCCATTGCCTGCTATTGGCAGTTGGTACTCATAAATGCTTACAAACACTGGTTCAAAGAGCACCGCTTACGAACGATGACGAGCATTTGCAACAGCATTTATACATGGCGGCCAGCGACATTAAAAAAACACATAGCAGGAAAAACGACGCCAATAGTTATCTCAGCGGCGTTCAAACAATGGAAGGGACAAACAGTCTTCTTGCACTATCATCCTCCACAAAGGTTCAGAAAAAAATTGAGGAAACCTTAACAATAAAACAGTTTTGGAACAGACATATTGGAACACTAACGCAATGATGTGGTTTCTAAGATGAACCGACTCCAAACGAGAACGAGCGCTTTGTTTGTGTTGGTGGAAATGGTTATCATGTGTCGGATGCATCTGGACACCTACCACCGAACTCACGTCCATCATCAGATAGAGTTTGTTTGTACTGAGTGTCACTCTGACTGGTTGTGTGGAGGAAAGAGAGGAGACTGGTATTGTATTTCTAATTCTAGGTCTTTGTTACTCAGCTTTTGTTACCCAATGCAACACCATCAATGTCTCCCCGGAAAAAAAAAGTCTGAAAATGCGTGTCATTATAACCGCGTCTCCTCCATCCCTATGACAGCCGACATTTCCGCATTCAAAACGACAATAAACACATCTGATTTCAGGATTTTTTTGAGAACTAGTTCTGAGACACCGTAACCAAGGCCTGACATGAGCACCAAACAATGTTGTGGGTTTTGTGCAGTCACAATGCCGTCTGGACCGAGTAAATCACACACACACATATCTCAGAATAACATCAATTGTGGAATTCTTGTCAAATCCAAGACATGAAAACAAAGACTTCCTAGCAACCACTGTAAACACCTGCACTGCGTTGAGGGAAACACTTGATAAACTTATTGCAACAAAGGTACACAAAGGGGAAAACGGTTTGGGGGACCTGCGGCACGTTCAAGCTGAAATGATCGCCGTGTAAAAACCGCCTTCAGCTCATTATTATTAGTTAGAATTTGGCACCGTTTTCCCATGATCTGCTCTGCAGCACAGTGTTGTTTGGTTGGAGTTCGCTCTAACTTTGGCTCCACATCTGTGTCTGGTTGAGTCCCTGTTTGGATTCTTGCGAATGTTTCTGTGTTGGAATAGAAAGACGGAGATGTTTGATGTGGGGATTTTTTTTTTTTTTAGGATTTTTCTAACCACTGGATGTTTAACATTAGAGTGTTTTCTTCTGTTTTAACACCATGGGTTTGATTCTCATGCATGTTCTGTGAACCATATGGACGCATTTATAGGAGCACACTGGCACAGATTTCATGTGTATCTGGTTGATGAAAATCAAACGTTCGTGCAAATTTTTTGCCACAATCGTACGAAACAAAGGAGAGTATGTCAGAGAATGCCTCTTATTTACCTGGACTGAAAGAATACTGGGTCAGTTCGAGCAAAACCTGTATTTGTGATTTTGTTTTTGCAGCTTTTCCAATCAAACTGTAGAGAGTTGTTTTCTTGGTGCTGTTTGCTGTTTATGCAAACTGAAAAAAACTCAACATTACAAGCCTTTCAGAGACTCAAAGGGCATATCTCCTCTGTTTCCCAGTAAACTTTTAAATATAAAACACTTGCAGCAGATGTTGAGTTTCATTAAGAGCAGCTTAGTAACAAACAAAAGAAACAGTAAAGTTGAAGCAGATGGAATTATTTAAAAAGCTAAACAGTTTGGAGTAACTCACAATTTTGAATATTTGGCAGTTTAAAGTAATTCATATTATAAGTCATTCTAGTTTTGCAGGTAAAAAAAAAGGTCAACTTTGGCTCCATATTATTTACTCTACATGCTCTTTCTAATCAATATTCTGAAAACAAATATCAATATCATTTGAATTATCACATTTGTGTAATATCAGTTGTTTTTGCTACTTTACTACCTCAGAATCATTATTTCTTATTTTTCTGTACTCGTCTTATTTTAGCCTACTTATTTGTCATTTTTGGTCATGTATCTTACTTATATCCTGTTACTTTTCTACTAAGAACTGTATTTTCTCGTGTTACGTCTTAGCAATATCTGGCACAGTTCCCTTTTGGATTAGTAAAGTTTTATCTCGTCCTATTTTTTGCCATTGTGTCTTGTTTCATTTATACGCAAAAGACACACCTTCATCTTCCTGAAGACCTGTTATGACTGCATAAGACAAAGCCAGTTCAGTCATATTTCATCAACTTAGAAGCACTGCAAAGGCGATTAAACTAGACATATGTAGCATCATGAACTGCACTACTTTACAAGATTCCTTTCAAGGTGCAACAGACTGTAAAACACACAGGATGAGACAGACATTAAATTTGAAAAATGTTTCGTGCTCACTTTTGAACTGACTCATACATTCAATTGTTGAACTTTTTGGTCTATCTGAGTATTCAAATCATCTGAGAACCTCGAGCCGTGGCCTCTTATCCTTTCCAAGAGTCGACTCGAGGGGAGCCAGCAGACTGAACCTTCTCTGTCAGGGCCACGAAACTCTGGAAAGTTCTGCCTGGAAGACCGCTGAGCTGGTGTCTTCTTTAAAATCACACTTGTATTATAAAGCTGACTCTGTTTTGGATTTAAGTCACTGGTAGGTAATGTTTTACCTAGCAATTAACCTTTCTTTTTTAAAGTGCAGAACCCAATTTTGGTAACATATCAAGTGTAGTTGATGCTAATTATCATACTATAGATCTTGTTTTTTGGTTTTTAACTCCATCCGTCACTGCTTTGCCTCCTGCTACGTACCTGCTATGTGCTCGACACTAGGGATAGCCATGGTGCTGTACTTATGAATGCAGTGGCAGCACCAGGTCAGTTTCTGGCTCTCCTCGTCCCCTCCTCCGCTTTTATGTAGGTCGACGAAGTAGGAGCCCCACTGGTTGGACGCCGAGGAGGGCGACTTCATGCCCTGCTCCTGTTGAGACAGTCGACACACAAACCAAACTATGTAACCATGCGTTAGGATTCATTTTCAGACAAGTGCGGACCTGATTAAAGGAGGTGGGAATAAGCACCCTGAGCATGGGGAATATAGGGAGACTTCAAACTGGCTTTAACCCGAGTGGCTTTGAGTGTTATTTTCAGCACTGTAATGAATCACTATTTCTGAGAAATCCCCCGCTCTGTTACTCATCAGTCAGTCACACAGCATCAGTGCATTTTAGACGCTGATAGAGGTGAGGAGCTGCGATCGTCGTGACAACAAGACGTGGTTTTTAAAACGAAGGACGTGATAATCTGATGAGCCGTAAAGAGAAATTGGTGCGTTTCACAATGTCAGCTAATGTCATCAGGAACTGTTGCACAACGCACAAGATAAAGAAATCAACAAGGTTAGATATAACGCTATCATGAAGATACGCTCCAAATATTTCTAACTAAAATATGTGAAAAACTAAAACCAGAAGAAAGGAGGACTGCCAGAGGCATTTCTAAAAACTGGAGAAATAATAAATGCAACATGCTGAAGAGCACAGATGCTGGAGATTAGACTTTGATCACTCATCTGTTTTGAGAAACAGCCTTTTTTGCAAAATATTCAGATTATTCTTCACATATCTGCTCTGCAGCGTGGAGGGCGTGTATGGAAATGTAGCAGATCAGATTAAACATTTGAGATAATTCTAATAGATGAAGACTGTCGGCCACAGGAAGAGGCAGTTTACCATCAGCACTAAGGTTCCATCTGTGTCAGGGATGTTGTTTTCATCATCTGTAATGAAAGTTCTGATCCTTTGTTTGTTTTACCCGACAGTGATGCAGCTGCCTGAGCTATCACTACGATTAGAAGAGGTTTTTAAGGTGGAAACTATTCCTGACAGACAGCATTGTCCAAAATTGAACATAGTATATTCGCAGACAGACAGCGGGCCTCAACTAGCAGACCCGATATCAGTGCTTTGGGGTAAATAAAATACCTTTCACATCATGTAGCGGGGTTCCTATAGATTTTCCATTTTAACTTGCTTACGTAACTTACTTACTTTTCCAGCCACACATTTCCACAGTTCTTGGTAGATTTTCTCAGATCATATTTTAAATCTAAGTACAAGTAATATAATAATGTAATCATTTCTTTGAATAATTTACAATAATTTACAGAAGATTGGAGGTCTAGCAACTCTTACTCAGACAATTGATCAAATGCAGACAAGTTCACAGCATTTCACTTCAGTTGCAATATCTCTGACCAAGTAGGACTACTGCTACTTATATTCCTATTATTTCCCCTTAATATATTGAAAGAAATATATTATCTCCCATATTTTTTAGACTATTTTATAAATAAGAACCAAAAATGAGTTGGGAAAAGGTGAAATAGCTTAATAGTCACTGTGTCTGCCTTGTTGATTCACTGTGTCAATGGAAACAATGATGAACGCAGTGGTCGAGGCTTTCCTTCCGTAGAAAAGAAAACTACATCACCGCATGACAAAAAATGTTCAGACAAGCTGATTAGATAATGCCACTTTTCCTCCACTTCTTCCCTCAAACTAATTTGGATCTGGTGCCGTTCTGAGGCTTTTTCTGCAGAGCTGTTTTGCAGGCAGTCGAGGTGCGTAGGAGTCTGAGTTCAGTCACACAGCATATTTCTTGCCTTGCTTAAGATGACATCAAGCTCGCTCTCTAACACAGCGGTAAACATTTTAGCGTGAGCTGGCCGCCTGCTCCAAACTACACTAAAAACACATTTTGCTGGTACACCAACAGTCTCAACAGTTTGTGGCAGATTTTCTTTTCCAAAACCAAAGCATAAATGTAGGGAATGATCCGTTTTAATAGGAGCTGCATTCGTGAGCACAACAGGCTAATTAGCTCAGTACCTACAGTAGGGACTGAGCATTACTCTGACACAAAGATGCCCATTCAAGACTCATATATCCACTGTTTAGTATTTTCCTGAGTGTAGGCTCATGTTAGCAACTTTGTCCTGATCTTTATCGTTGTCGGGAATGTTTACTTCCTCATCTTAAAAAACGTACATTTAAGTTTAGTGATCACATTGGACTTAAAGAGCCCATAATATGCACATTTACAGGTTTGTAGTTTTATTGCTACAATATTTTTACAGGCTTTTAATGTTTGAGAAACACATTATTTTGCTCAGACTGTACATTCTCTGTCACTGCTGGGCAGGCGTTATGCAAATGTGTTACACTGTGACATAGACAAGTAACAGAAGAAAAGCCTGCACCTCAAACAAGGCGTTTCAAGCAGGAAAGAAGTTTTTTAGTGGGAGAGAAGAACTCCCTCTGGTGTGAACTTTGGGCTTTTTAAGTTTGCAGACCTTTTACATGTGCAAAATAGTTCTAAAACACTAAAGGAATGGGCAAACCCAAAAAGCATATCCTGGGCTCTTTAATGGGAGCTTGGAGGTGATAGGGTAAATGTCCACATGGCACAAGGGGAAGGAGGTAACAGCAAAATGTATGCCCAGGAACCTCCCACAGAGTTGTTCTAACCACTGTCATGTTAACGAATCTCAGAAATAAAAAATAAATTGTTCTTTATTCCAGAGCTGTCCAGTTGTTAGAAACTTTGCAGGGTTTCATTCCGCTAATGTATTCAAGGTGTGCGCTGTACATCTGGGATATAACTGTATGTTGGAAAAACTGTTACATAGTTTTGGCAGATGCCTAATATTCAGCTCGTAGGAGCAGAGGGTGTCTAGAGTATATATGATCGCTCCACTACATCTGGGATCAGGCGTATAGTACCACAGCCTGCTGCATTTCAGAAAAAGAGGAAGTCTCGTTCCGAGTCCTGGATTTTCTTGCCAAAAGATGTGCTGACTCCTCTCTTTTTAACTGCCGGGATCACAACATCCTGCTGCTTAATACCCGCATCTGCTCTGCGTTTGATATTACATCACTCACAGCATTTCCTTACTGTTTCATTTCTACATGCTGGAGGAGGTGAAACACTCTGACATATTGCACAAAGTGCTTCTCAGCACGTTTGTACTACAACTCTGTCTCAACACGCCCCATTTCACATGTTTTTCAATCATCAACACTTCCAGGAATGGATGCCTAAAGGTCAAAGATAGACAGTTTCAATGACTCAGTAGAAGGTTTTTTTTTGTATTAGCTTAGCACCGTCGCCTCGCAGGTCGAGGATCCCCGGTTAGGATGTCTGGAATCTTTCTGTGTGGAGTTTGCATGTTCTCCCCGTGCAGCATGGGTTCTCTCCAGGTTCTCCGGCTTCCTCCCACACAGTCCAAGAACATGTTGAGGTTAATTGGTGATTCTAAATTGTCCGTAGGTGTGAATGTGAGTGTGCTTGGTTGTCTGTCTCTAAGTGTGGCCCTGTGATAGACTGGTGACCTGTCCAGGGTGTCCCCTGCCTTCACCCTGAGTCAGCTGGGATAGACTCCAGTCCCCCTCGACCCTAGTGAGGATTAAGCGATGTGTAGATGATAGATGGATAAGAATAACGACATAAAAAATGAACCCAAAACTGCTGCCTTTGTAGAACATTGCTTTATCTATTTGTTCATACACATATATATAAATATATATATTTACAGATCTTTCTTACTGTATGCACTCGAAAGCACTTTTATGGCCAATGATTGTACTTTTTAAAAAATTGTCGCTGAGAGCACTATGCAATGAAATTTCGTTCTCTCGCACTGTTTTTTTTTGTTTTTTTAATGCTTGAATGACATTAAAGTTATCTATCTATCATTCGGGAAACATTATATTTTAAGAAATGGATCTCTTTTCTTGACCGATCAATTAATTGTATATGAAGAAACCAAGAACGGCTTCACACAAGCACACCCCCGATGTAATACTGTCTATCTGCATGCAACAGCTAACTCAAAGGGTGAGTGGTGGCGGCAGGACACAGTTGGTGGTGGGCGTTTGGTCAGGGTGAGGAACGTCTGCTCACCGGAAACAGCTGCCTCGGTGAACTCACCTCAAACTTTCCCCTTTTCTCCAGCGGCTCCACTTGGGCCTCGTTGGACATCGCCGCATCGCTCTTCGGGACGCCCTCCCCCTCCATTTCCTCCACTATCATCACCGTCTCCCACTTTCCAAAGCTGCTGGCGGGAAACATGTCTGACCTCATGCTGTCGCCAAAATACACTACCTGCAGGGCGAGAAAGAGAAAGGACAACTTGTTTACTTTCTGCTGCAACAAAACCGACACTGAATTCCCCCCTGAGCAACAGTCAAAGTCAGCTAAAGCCAGCTTATATATTAAAGCCCCCCCCCAAGGTGAACTGGGCCAGACACGATGAGTCTGCAAAACTCATCACAGCCTCCTTGACCATCACATCGCTCTTCTTTGTCCTACGCGTCTGGAAAGCAAAGCGAGCCGGGGCAGGCGTTGCGGAGCCGCATTCCAAACCTGAAGTGCTGGTGCTTGCTGCTCAAAGCTTTAAATCCCATTTCAAGAGCCATTTCTCTCAATTCGTCTTAAACGGGAGAGGAAATGGAGCGAGGAGTAGAGAATGCTTGAGATCAAAATGACAAGAAGCAGAGTGTGTTGACACAATGAACACAGGAAAAAGGCTTCATGGTCAGAAGTGGTTAAAAAAAAAAAAGGTGAAAGATCAGCTTACAGGAACACTATATACATAAACTACAAGTAAAGCTTAGAAATAAATCCACCCTTAAATGCATAAGTCAGTTTTCAAACACAATTATGTACCTCAGGGCACGAGCACCCTGGCACTGCATAAGCAACCGTTTAATGTGTATTAACACAATAACAGACACAGAAATATCCTATTTTGGAGCTTTTGCTGTTGTTTACAGATGTCTTGCCAGTGATTTTATGGCGCTCCAAAGTATTTCTCGATGCAGACTGATATATGTCATGTTTCTGCTGTAACGTCTCATGATGACACTTGTAAAATCAAACTCATCAGTACAGGAATCACAAGCACGTGTTCATGCACCACTCATTGTTTTGCGGTCGAATGAACAGATGATGCATCTTCAGCTTTTTTGACTGAATTTTTCAGCTTAAGTGGTTGTGATTCTGGACAAACTAAAGACTGTAATGATCAATCAATGTAAGTTTGTCAGTGGTCTGAGCACCAGCAGCTGATAAATAATGCTGATATCATGCTGCTGTTGCTATTTTCTTTGACCTCTAAGTAACTATGACAATAAAATAAGAACTGAGACACAAATTTGTTGAACTTAAATGTCTTCATCATCTCTGCCTACGTACAGTAGATTTGCGGGGCAATAAAAAATGTCTACAATATAATATCTACAGGCAATCCAAAAACTAACACTTTTAAAATATATATATATATAAATAAATGACAAAATACAGTTTTACTGGTGTTAACAACAGCATTTATCAGCAGATAACAGCATCTCCTGCTAGTCTGGTGAACAGATTGAGGTCTGACATTCTGGCATTTTTTCACGTCCTGCTGTGGCTGTTTCCAGATTTATCAAAGTTGCACCATGAAAAATGACACATCAGCTGCAATAGCTGGTCAGAGCTTTTTAGCCGCGCAGACCAACCTAACGACGCAGGGCTCCAGACAAACTTTTTCACTTGTAGCACTGCAACCAACTTTCTCATTTGGTTGCACATCCCACCTGGCCACACGCAAAACATCTGACTTCCTGAACATTTTCTTATCAATAGACACTAAAATTTATTGATGTTCCCTAAATGCCACATATAGCAGGCTGCGGTAACTGCTGTTGGTATCTGCAGTGTACTCAGACAGGTGTGCAACCAAAAATGGCTTTAAAAAGAGTAAACCAGGGTGTTCTACTGTCAGAAAGATTTGAGATTTTTATTTTATTTTTTTTCTTTTCTACGAGCGGAAAAAACAATAAATGCAGGTGCGCTCCACTTTTCACGAGACAACCTTATTTTTAAGCGTAAATACCGCAGTACACCAAAGTTACACAAGTACTGCTTTCCACCACTGTAGTTAACACAGCAGCTGCCTGTGCAGGTTAAAGCAACACTGAAACAGCCTAATGATCACCATGCACTTGCACCAATGCGATCAACTAAAATTTGAACTCGCAAATGCCACCATTTTGGTCGCAGTCTGGAGCCCTGCTCTGGTAACAAGCCGGTACTGAGCTGGTAATCGGCTGATGCTGATTTTGTCAAAATAGCGGACAATTAAATCGTCTATCTGTTGCTGGAAGTCATGGTAACTCATTCCTTTTCTCCAGCCATGGCTAATGTTTTCCAGGCCAGAACATGTTTCTGAGATCTTCTTGTTTTCCACTTAAAAAATGTGACCTTGTAAACTGTTTGTAGCAGCAGAATCCAGGAAACTGTCCAAACGTATGTTGGGACACCATTTGGATAACATTTTGCCTGATGTCACATTCAAAGTTCATGTTGTCTGAAGTATCCAAGGTTCTACTTTTAAATAATTGAATTCACAAGTGCCAAAAAACCTAATTCTTCCTCATCAGCACCCTTCAGAACATCTTTATTTGCAGAGCTGTTCTCATCAGAACCCACCAGTATGAAAGAACATGTTGTTTTTGTTGCTGTTCTGCACTAAAACTGTAACCCAGGTGCTGCAACATCATATTATTGTGACAATAAGCCGGAAAAAAAAAGAACAGGCTTCCTAATGCCTGAATGTATTCACAGGAATAGTGAAATGACACTGAAACCATTAAGGTCAAACAGGAGAATGAAAAAAAAAAAAAACATTTATAAAAATCTTTTGGTGTTTTTATTTTGCAGTAAGAGTCTTAAAGTCTTCTTAACTTGTGTTACCCATCAAAGTGAACAGTGTCTATACATTCATTCATTAATTGCTACCAAAAGTTTGCACATTGCTACCTCTGAATGCAAATCTGATCTTTACCCTGGTGTATTACGTAACACAAGAAACTTGTTTGATCAAGCAAATTTAAATGACACAGAAATTACTTTTCATATCAAATAAAAAGAGTGGAAAACAACTAAAGCCCGAAACAGTTAAAAAAAGGCACTCACAGATCTAAATACTAAACAAAATGGCTAGTTGTCAGGAAATGCATACCTATTGCATAGTAAATAAACTCTTTATTGTGTCTTTTAAGATATTTTTGACAATCTGTGATATTTTTCTCATGTTTCTGTACAACTTTTTGCTGCTTTTATCCATTTAAGATTCTTGATACATGTTTTTTTTTTTTTTTTTAAATTGAGAGCTACAGAACTTTTACTGCTGATTAATCAAAATAGTCAGCTCAAAGTGAGTAATATGATGTTTAAAGCTGACAAGATGGGTGATGATCTCTTGCAGGTTCCTTACTACAAATGACTAATATCACATATAGCCTTGTGATCTCACCATTGCAGCAACTATTAGCGCAACCATAAGTTGATTACTGTGGCGGTATTTGACGCAAATGTCATCTTTTGCTTCCTTAAATCTGTTTCCATTCACAGCTAATCCTGAATCATTTCAACCCATGCCAGTCATGATGAATAAGGATGACACACATGTTACTGTTACATAAGTACGTGCGTGTGAGATGCAGCTAAATCAAACCTCCCTGCAGGAGTCAGAAGGCCATAAAGAGGATGTGAGGCATTCCAGTAGCTGGGTCTCGTCCCTCCCCCCCTCACAGGGCAGCGCTGTGTCTCAGGCTGGCCCTTCCACATGTAAACAAACAGCCAGGCTAATCGGGGCCACTACGGGCCGGGGCCTTCGGGGCGAGGGCTGCAGGAATCACATTTCCAACCAGACTTTTTCCCAGAACTGGCCACAGCTGGTCCTCGTACCCCCACGAAAAAAAAGCCTGCTTCTCTCATTGCTCAGCAGTGCTGCTGCCGGAGTCATGGGATCACTATGATAAATATTTACAGAGGCCAAGGATTCCAGCACAGAGGCAACATATTACAGAAGAGACTCATTGTTGGTAGGTACAGTTACATTAGTCTGAACCGGACTGAGCTCTGAATGAGGGAAAGAGCCGTGAAGTGAATCCTGCTGCAGGCGACGGGTTAAATCAGCCGGGAAGACGCTTCTCTGTTCCTCAGCAGAAAGATTACGCTGTTCAATGGTTCTAAACGCTGTCTTTATTGTCCTCTTTTATCCTGAGCAAGACTCACGGTGCCACAGTAGTGCTTGTGTTGGCATCGGCTGAGAAAACTTCCCTGGCCTGAACACTGGCCAATATTATGAGCGGAAAACACAAAGAGTAGCACTTTTGACATCGACAAAACATTATGACCAGTCACATATTCAGTAATTAATGCTGGTTATTAGAGAATACCAGAGGGTTAGAGTTGGAGCTCGATGGCAACAGTTTTAGCAACGATGCATCTGAAGTTTTGGAATATTTTATGTGGTGAGTGGACAGTCAGATCCCCCAGGAAACAGCGTTTTGTGGATGTGATGGGGCAAGTCTGATCCATGGTCGCTCCAACTTACAGGACCTAAAGTATCTGCTGCTAAGTGTTGCTGTCTGAAACCACAAGACACCTTTAGACGCCTTGCAGAGTTCAGGTCTTGAAGTGTCTCAGCTGATCTGTTGGTTTAGTGATAAACTGGCAACATAAATGCAGTTTGTATGCCAGTTCATGCTGGATTTTTTTCCTGCTATGACTTGAAACACATCGATCTAGACCAATCATAGTTTGCCAACCTGTGTGATGTCATAGTGAAAAGGGCTGGAAAAAAGACGACCTTGACTATCGATTATGCTGTTGATTGCTTTCTGGATTATTTGGAAAATTGTCCAAAAATGGTTAACAAAAATGTCGATCAGGGTTTCCCAGAGTCCAAGATGATTTCCTTAAATGTCTTGTTTTGTCCACAACCTAAAAATTTTCAGCTTACTGTTATAAAAAAGAAAAGAAACCATAAAATATTTCATTTTAAGAAGCTTGAATCAGATTATTTTGACTTTTTCTCCAAAACAGTTACTCAAAT